AACTCTTTGCTCTGTACAAAAACACATCTGGTGCACAGTTTTCATGGCATGTAGGAAAAGAGCAGGGCCGTGCACAGACATTTTGAGGGGCAGTGGCCAAAATCACTGGGGGTGGGGCAGTTATTGCTCAGCCGTATATGTCAGGGGTGGCGAACTCCAGTCCTGGAGAGCCGCAGCCCTGCAGAGTTCAGCTCCAACCCTAATTAAAACTCACCTGCCTGTAGCTTCCTAATAACCCTTCAGACCTTGATTAGCTTGTTCAGGTGTGTTTGATTAGGGTTGAAGCAAAACTCTGCAGGGCTGCGGCTCTTCAGGACTGACGTTCGCCACCCCTGGTATATGTGTATGTATATGTATATGTAGGCCAGGGTTCCTCAAATCTTGCCCAGGATGGTCAATGTGCTGCAGAGTTTAGCTCCAACCCTGATCAAAGTCACCTACCTGTGATTTTCCCCTTGTCCAAATACCCACACTTGCGGTCTTGTTTCCAGGTTTTACTCGTGCTATTTCTCCATGTTGAGAGTTTGGTGTCGCACATATTGCACCTGACTATGCATTCTTATCCTTTTCTCCCATGAACTGAAAATAACGTTAGTGTGTCCATCTCACAAATACAAATGTAGAATCCGTCTCTGCAGTCATCTCAACCATTTAATTCCAGCATCAGGAAATAGACAAACTATTTTACCCGCGGGATTTTTTTCTCTGGTGCTGTTTTGCGGTGTTGGTAAATTCACCACTTAATTTTGAGTTAAAATATGTTGTTGTAACTTGCGTTACTGAGATTGTAACGAGTAATAATATTACCCAAATTTGATTAGTAATGCGTTATATTACTGCGTTACAGCAAAAAGTAATATACTACTGTAATATTATTACTTTTGTAATGCGTTACTCCCAACACTGGTAATGGACGGGCTTCATCTCGGGCTTTTTTCTTTTTCTTCTGCGCTGGACTGCGCTGATGTCTTTTCCCTGATTAATTATGATGATCATTTGTATTCAGCCGCAAACATGAGTTTAGAGCGAGCGCAGATGCGGGAATGGCGCGTCACGTGTGCTTATAGGCCTACTGCCCACTGCGTTCATCATAAAATGCATTTTTGATAATTATATATATAATTTATATGTTTATGTTTATAATTTTATTTATGTATATGTATATGTTAATATTAATATAGAACGAAAGTTTTTTTTGTTTTTTTTTTGAGCAACTGGGATGGTGCTCCCCTGGTTGGTGCCCTACGCAAACTGCGTACTCTGCGTATAGGGTGCGGCGGTACTGGCTATGTATATATGAAGAGCTCGGTAGATTACTTGAAAATTGTTGAACAGACTCTGTTCCGTGTTTTGCGTGTGTTTTGCTCCCCATGTGTTTCTATGCCCATATGTGGTCCTTCCCGTGCCTGTCCTTATCATTTGTCCCAGGTGTTCCCCTTTTAGTTCTATTGATCCCAGGTCTCGTCACCCCCTCGTCATGTCATGTGTATATAAAGTGTTCCCTGTTCTTAGTTCGGCGTCTGGTATTGTTTATGTCAACCTCCTCTGCAATGTGAGTTTTCCTGGTTCCCTTGATGTTAATAAAGTCTCCTTGTTGATGTCTCCTCGTTCCTTGCTCCGCGTTCCCTCACAGTAGCGAACGTGACAGAATACCTGACCAAAACAGTAAGCGGCGCCCCTTCTCCCGTTTTTTTTGTTTTCGTTTTAAAAGTATTTTGTTTGTTTTTTGCAAACATGGAGGAACGAGCTATGTTCATCGCCACGACCCGTTCACGCGTCTTTGATCATTCACACTGCGTGATTGTCACTCGCGTGAACGAGCACCGATTTGCCTCCGATGTCGGGTATTTGTCGGCGATTTCGCAAAACCTGTCGGCGAGTGAAAAATCGTGCAGTGTGAACTCGGCATAAGTGAGGGCATTTGTGCCGCTCGCCCTCGCCAGCTCCCTCAATGGAGAGACCCTTGGACGCTGTTCCATCTCGGGATCACCTACCATCAGCCAACTGAACTCCCAGACACCATCAACCTCGATTGGAAGGAGGCAGTCATCTCGTGTCTGGAGAGTCTCCGATCCCTATCCGGAACCCCGCCGCCGGCCGCTCAGCAGACAAGCCCGCCGGCCGCCCTATTCACCCCTAATCAGAAGAGGAGGATGAGGAAAAATGGATGGCTCAGGGCCCTTTTCTTCGCCCAAGAGCGCCCTCCAGAGCTCGCTCCAGTGTCGGCTTCGGCCCCAGAGCTCGCTCCAGTGTCGGCTCCGGCCCCAGAGCTCGCTCCAGTGTCGGCTCCGGCCCCAGAGCTCGCTCCAGTGTCAGCTCTATCTCCTGACCAGAGTTGACAGATGGCTCTAGCCCCAGACCAGCATCAAGATAGGGCTGCAGTTACCACTTTCAGCCCAGTGAGGGCTCCCGTCCCCGAGTTTGGCCCAGTGAGGGCCAAAGAAAATATATTCCATTCGTTGACATGAACAACAAAAATAAAAAATAAATAAATAATTTTAAAATAACATAAGAAATAAAACACTTCCTCAAAAAATGAATTCTTTTATTTGTTTACCTGCATATCATGTGACCATTAACCAACGTCAGAGAACTGTGAACATGCAAATGTGATACTTAATTATTAAAAACTTATTTTAAAATCTCAGGGCTCTTCAAGTAAATATATTAGATGAAAGATGTTCATATGACAAAAAAAAGTTTGGGAATGCCTGTATTACATGTAAATAAGAAATAATGTGAATTTGTGCATTTTAATGTGTTTGAAAGACAAAAGCCTTCCAAATACATTGAAATAGATGGTTGGTTAACCTACTGAGTGATAATTCAGATAAATATTAATGTGTTTATCAGTAGTTGATGCAACGTTGAAACACTTGAAAATGATTTCTGTAAATTCAGTGGTCAAATGCTGTGTAGTCACCTGACTAATGACTGGTCTTTCTGTGAATATCCACAAAACTGGAAGACTTTCTGAGTGTAGGCTATATACGCGGTAGGATATTTTAGAAAGGAACATTTAAAAGATGAAAAAGAGGAATTATGTATATTAGTATATTAGTTCAATCATATTTTGTCTTTAATATTTTGTATTTTATGGGGATTTTTTCGTACTAAATGTTTGCTAAATATTTACTCTTTATTTGGGGGTTCAGGATGGCAATCAGCCAATGAGGGCAGAGGAGCAGCGGCTCTAGCCACTGGCCCACCCTCTGTGCACGGCCCTGAAAGAGAGCATGAAACTCTGCGATACAAAATGAACTTAACACCCATTTGGTTCGGGATTTTTTCCCATTTGATTTAGCTTGATATGGTTGTTCTAAGTGGCAGCTGAATGTGCTGTCTCTGTCAGTATCTTTTTCATATGCGTTGAGAACCTCTTGCGATTCTTTGTTTTATTAGCCTATAGTTTAAGAACTGTGTTTATATTGTCGTTTCCATGTTATTTTACTGGTCTAAATAAATACCGCCAGCATGCTTTAATAATAAGACTTTGTATTTTTTGGAAGATAGCTGTGTTTTGAAGACGGGTGCGATTGATGCAGATGAATGTAGCTGTGAGTATAAACCGTCTTTATTAGTAGCTATAAATGCCTCATTGTTATCTTTTCCAAATATTCGTTCAGGTGTGCCGCTTTGTTTATAAAATCAGGAGGAATATTGGCAGTAATCGAGTCTATTTCACAGGCGTCGCGTGAAGGTACATTAATTCACCAATAGATGGCGGTAGAGGGCCGTCTAAGAGCTTCGACTGCCTGCGCCACACGAATAGTTTCTGAAATAAGCTGCATTTGTTTTTTAAAATTCTTACCGTGACACATGTGTCCTTTTACTTTTGAAGATCAAGAAAAAAAACTGAATTTGTTCGGTTTGCCAAGTTCCTTAGGGCACTGCTGCTAAATTAAGTAGGCTAAATGAAGTTAGAAGTAGGATAGGCTATGCGTTGAGACGGGTAGAAACTGATTGAAAAGTTTTTACAATTTTAAGAGTTATTACAATGTTTTAAAAAATCCTAAAGTAGGCTATTCAAATAACATAAAACCTGTAATTTATCATACTGGCCTAACTGCCGATTAATTAAAAAAATGTTAGGTAGGCTAAATGTAAACTCTCTTTATTTCCAGTTGTAGAGTATAGAATAATTTTTTTTTACTTCCTCATACTCTACGAAGCAATACTTCATTTAATCTTTTTCCTGCGCATTTTAATTTTTCTTTACGATTTACACGAGGAAGACCGAGGCTAGTCGTAACACCTTTTACGCCAGTAAATATTTCACAGGGCAAAATATGTATTATTATTTTAAATATCAATTTCTGTAAAGGTAAGTTTCGACAACAAAATTGCTATTGAAAATTTCCAAAATATATGCCTACTTTGACTTTTAGACTGAAAGCATATTGTCACTATGAAATCTGCCATTAAAAAGAATGGCCAGTTAGCCTATATGGATGTTATGACATTATGAAACACAAAACAATTCATGAAACTGCAAAAATGTAGGTCTGAAAGTTATATTAATAAATGATAATAAATAATAATAATAATAATAATAATAATATTGTGATTAAAACTGTGACAACTTGCCGCAACCTGACGTGTGAAAAATATATTCAAACCTCCGTTAAAAATAGGACATATAGGCTATATATTGTCTATATAACCGACTTATATTGTTCACTTGTTTACACAACGCTATCACAAAAATATGATACAGGAATTTAAGTTTGGAAGGCAGAATTCACAACAATTATTCTGATGTTGGAGGGTTTTAAATTATGTGTTTGTAATCAACATGAAAAAAACCGATGGGGAAAAACACACATTTGGACTTTTGACTCAAAAGATGGATGGATGGATGGATGGATGGATAGATAGATAGATAGATAGATAGATAGATAGATAGATAGATAGATAGGTTTTGGCCTATATCGGTCAGGCAAAAACACACTACTTTCCTTGAAATGTTTTATTGCTAACTTCCATATCACATTGCACTGTACAGATTAAGTGAAATATACTTATATGTGCTTAATTCAAACTCTATTGAAATGTAACCACAAAGCATAAAATGGCCAGTCCATGACTTCATGAGTTTAACTGTTTCATATGCGCTTGGATCGGTGAGGTCAAGTCATGTCGCCAGATGCTTTACGCTGGTTTTCAAAAATACATTTCGAAAAATTTTGTGAGTGCACAATTATTAATCCTTCATTAGTTGTCTTTACCTCACAGTTATCCAAGTGCTTATCTTTGTGCAACAAGCGGACTACATCACACAAGGTTTGACGTCTTGATGCATACTCTGATGGAGGTGATGGTGATGATGATGGTGGTGATAATATCCACCAGCAGACGGATGGAAAGAGGTAATTCCATTAAAATTCAACATGAAATCCTTCCGTTCTCCGACTGGGGAAGAATGTGTCGGATAGCGCGATATACCCACTGAGGACAGATATATGCACAGTGAGATAAATATACATAATGACCAGTACAAAAAAATAAGTAGTTTTTTTTTTTATCAGCTCATCATGGGTATACATTTTTAAGCTTTTAGACCCACGCTTGAGAGTAAAATGTTGCTGAATACTTTTAAATGCTTTGTAACAACACCATTTTATTTTTAAGCATGCAAATTATGTTTTCAACAATATTCAATAAAAATGTATACATTTTTCGATTCTACTATTTTTAATTGCCTTAATTACTTATGAGATTCACACATTTTTGTTCTTAGAAAATATATTTTACGTTTAGATAAAAATATAATGATTCTTAACTCCTATCATTATGAAAATAATAATTCTTATTATTCTTATTGTTATTATTATTATTCCATATTATACAAGTATTTTGCTGTTTCGTACCCAAACTGTTAGAAGAAGAAGAAAAACGTGGTTGAACGTAGGCCTTTACCTTAAAAAAAATCTTTCAATTACAAAAGATGTCAACGTTTTTGAGACATGCTCACAAAGCATAAGATGAATTTAACACCTATCAATTCAAAACGTTTTGTACAGTTTATAGTCATCTTAAACCTAAAACGTTGAACTTTTGTCATTCTGAGATCTCTTTATTTTTTAACATGCTTTAGAATTTCATAATAGTTTTGATACTGCGCGTAATTTTAGCTATAAAATAATGTAGCCTATTTCAGATTTTCCAACGTAATAACACATATATTTCAAAGTAAATATAACGGCATCTAAATGTTTCAGGGATTATATGTACGTTATTTGTTTTACCTGACATATCGGTGTTGTCGCTCGCACTTTGCTGTATATAACCCTGTTCCAGAGAGTAGGTGAATATGCCGGGATGCTGCCCTGTGGACGGCGAATTGCTTGAGACTGTAGTCGGCTGTTTTAGGTATGGAGAATTTGAAGAAGCCCATAGTGCTGTTCCCTCTGAATACGGCGAGTGACCCTCAAGCGCGCCCGCTATTGCAGGGGAAGACGGAACTGGGCTGGTGTTGCTCTCCGCACCATAGTCTCCGTTCCCGGGCACTGGACAGCTAGCCATATAACCATGTCTGGAGCTGGGGGATATGTGACCATGGTGCCCGCTGCTTATTGACTCATAACCATTACCAGACAGGTCCAGGTTATAGCCACTACTATGGCACGCAAGTGCGCCGCTGGGAGGTTGGTAATCGAAGCTCTGAGGTAAAATGGCGGAACCGAACCCTAGGCCGTTCATCATTCTGTACATCGGTTTCATGGCTTGACATTTTCTCCTAAATCCTCGTGGTCTTCGCCGAAATGACCCCTCCTCAAACATAAACTCACTGGTGGGGTCTATGGTCCAGTAATGTCCTTTACCCGGCCGCCCAAGTCCTTTTGGTAGTTTAATGAAGCACTCGTTCAGAGACAAGTTGTGCCGAACAGAGTTTTTCCAGCCCTGGTAGGAGCCTCGGAAAAAAGGGAAGCGTGTTTGTAAGAACTGGTAAATCTCACTAAGTGTGAGTCGCTTTGTCGTTGCGCTCTGAATTGCCATCACAATGAGTGCAATGTAAGAGTAGGGCGGTTTCTCCGGACGTCGCAGTCCTGAGTTAGTCTTTTTAGTCTTGGACACTGCGCCATGGTCCTCCAAGCTACCTGTCGAGTTCATCAGTCCTGGATGCAGCGCGGTGGACGCTGGACTGGTCCTCATCGGGGGCGTCGACCGCAGTGGTCCGTGGGAGCTCTCAGTCGTCATCTGTCCCGCGCTGACGTACGAACACAACTGGTTGACAGACGTTGACGTTGACAGAAGAAAAAGGTTAAGCAAAACCCCAAAGACTGAAATATTCGAAAGCCAATAAACGAGGTTCAAGGAAGCAACCGAGAATAAACGCTACGCTTTAGCTGAAAACGTATGCTAACTTAACCAAGCATCCTATGTAAACTTAACGGTCTTCTTTTTCAGGCTTTAACGTTGTGATCAATATCCTGCTTTTTGTGAGAGAAACTATCCAAGGAATATGCCTATTCGTAGTCGTTATCAACGTTTTGAAGGGGTTCTTTTTCTGCCACGAACTCCGTCCTGATCCTGGCGGCTGTAGTCCCTTTTTGAGGAAGAAATGGAAAGACTGAGTTCGTGCCGCGCCTCAACTAAACAAAACTCGACAGCCAATCACTCAATAACTCTCTCCGGCTTTCTCTCCTCTAATTGCTCCTCCTTCTCCGCCTCACCCACCCCCTCAAACCCCTAGACCTCCACAAACTCAACTCTGTCTCTCTTTCCAGAACCTCATGCACACTGTCCACCAAAATCAACTGACCCCCAATCTATCGCTATATGCGACCACAAACATCGCGTCTCTCATCATTATCATCATCTTTTTTGACTTAAACTTGCTTATTCTTTTGGCTTATTTATAAAATATGATTTGGCCATTTCGGCTGAATGAGTCAGTCAGTGTTGCACGCTTTATGAGAATAAAGTTAGGTAGGCTATATATAACAGAATTATGATTTTGAATAAAGATTATCTTAGCTTATCGAGTGAGCTGAAGGCTAATCGTGTTTACTTTGTGAAATTCGCATTTGCAACTCGAATTCTAATCGGATGGGTTCGTCTAGCCTAATGGACTTGGAGGGCTGTCAATATGAACAAACACTCAATGAGCGTGAGAGGCCTTAACAAACCTAGCAGGACTAAAATAAATAAACCATAACATAAAATGAGGGAGACAGTGATCAGCGAAAGACAGACATGGACAAGGGAGAGAGAAAGAGAGGAATGACTTTGGCTCGAGTGGAAGCAGGCTGTCTCTGTCGAGAGGTTTGGATACCACACACAGCGCTCCAGTATCTGCTTACGGGCCCGGGGCTACAGCACATCCCTTGAGTCCAGCCTTCATTAGCAAAAGAAAAAGCCAATTAGCCACTTGGACGCCAGCAAAGAAGGGTCACAGCAGTCTTCATAGACCAGTATAAATATGAATGTGTTTATACAGACGTAAACATGCATATTTCCTTACATTTGTTACATGTTATTAAGGTATGTCTACCTACTTTTTAAAAACATAGGCTAATTCTAATTATTTATGCGCAAAAATCGCCTGTTACTGCTTTTTAAAAAATGTTATAAAGTTAAAAGGAACATAAAACAGACAAAAGAAAATTACATTGCTTCTATCTATCTATCTATCTATCTATCTATCTATCTATCATTTTACTGACTGACTTTGTACATTGAAGTCGATCAGCAGAATATTTTTAATCGAAATGAGATCCGCCTCTGCATTTTTATTAGTCCTCGTATTTTTAATTCATATTATTATTTAATGATTAATATTATTTGTTTACGGTTTATTATTATTTATGGTATTATAAGCAGCATTATATTTAGGCTATAGAGAACAAATACAGCATTATGGCTCCTGGCGGTCTTTTTTTAAAAACATAAATGGCACGGGATATGTTAGGCCTATCTCTCGCGCTCTTTTTCCCCTCCCTTTTTTAATCACCCGCCCCGACTCTTTTAAGTGTTCTTTTGAACTAAGCGAATCAACAATCCCCTAGTTTTAGCTTTCCGTGAGGATGTGGATAAAAACATGTTCCCGCGCTATATAAGCAGTATTTCGCCAGGTTTCCCCCGCCCGCTGAGCGCCTGACCCCCGCCGAGTCCCGGGTATACCCGCGGCTGCTCTGGAAACCGAGCTCTGCACGAGACTTTGAACACAGGCCATCGCTATGAGTGTATGTGCGTAAGAAAGCGTCGCGCTGCCTTACGCACATAGGCTACCCATCTATTTTCATTACAGACCTAATTGAGCCACTGTAAACTAAATTTATGACATTATTCATTGTCAAAGGCTCCAGTCAACCCTTGATCTGAGATCATTTTTTGCCTGATGTGAAGTGGCAGAAAAATGTAAGTATCTCATTGAAAGAAAGTAGACTTACACCTGACACACAGCAGCCCAAGACACAATAAACAGAAATATTTTAGTGTACTTTAAATTGTTAGAGAAAGAGGGCGCTAACAATTAAAAAGATTTTGAAAGACAAAATAGACAGCGAGAATGCTTATAACAGTGAAAATTATACATATTTTATCCGTTGATGCTTTTTTTTAAATTATTGTTTATAATTATTGTATCATAGTTACGTTCTAGGTCATGGTTTAAAAATTGCTATTTTTGCCTTGAATTTTTCTCTGTAGATAACCCCTCCATTGGCCTGTATGTTTATTTAAGGTGGTTTCCAGATAAACCTGTATTTTCATAGCCTATACGAATGAGCGCTTCTTTGCAGCTGAAATGATCCTAATAGACTTGAATTCTCAGCTAACGGTTTTTATATAGACAGGTGTGTCATTCCGCGAGTTCACCTGCAGGTTGCAGCATCGCACTTAAATGGCAAGCATTTAAAAAAGTAAGCATTTAGAGGTTGAAAGCCATACAATGCATTATTTGCTGTTTTTACGTGCCATAACCACAAAAGTAGCCTACATAAAATTGTGAGCTTTCCTTGGCTATAGCCTATATTATAGTGCAATAACGTGCGACCATCCACGAGTGCATCGAATTCTCTCAACTTTGATCAGTTTTTATTTTTGCCGATTGTGGATTTGCTTTGGCGCTTTATTCAACAAAACATTCTCTTCATTCGTAAATTAATAATTAATTAGTAATTATTTAATTAATTCGTTGATTGATTGATTCATTCATTCACTGGGGAGTAAAGCCTCATCTAGCCTATCTAGAAGCAAGACAATCCTCGGACAATTGGTCTGCTCTTAATCAGGCTCGTTCCCTGACCTGAAAATGACAGGGCTGTCAACCCAAGGAGATGGTGTGACTAAAGACTAAAATCGAAAAGAAAACGATGGCCCTGCTTCAGTACCGCGGACAGCGCAAAATATGTTCGTATTTGAGACTAGCAAAATAAATAAATAACATTGTCATGATAAAAAAAAAATACCCACAATTCACAAAATAAAATGTATATTAATAAGAAATGTAAAAACTGTTTAGATTTCGTTATATTCTGTTTAATGATTCATATCTTGCTACATGTCCAAGTGGTTGTCCTTTTGTCGTGGACTCCAGCCAGGTGTGAGATTGCTGGAGTTTAACCGAACATGTATGGCTTTTGTAATTGTGTGATTTCAAGTGGAAGTCAATTCATCTGCAAACACTGTAGATATGTTTGCTGATTAATTCATTTCTGTCAACGGCCAGCTAGATAGATAGATAGATAGATAGATAGATATGGATGTAAAAGAGTAGGCCTAGTTTTTATTTTATTTTGAGAGGCAAATTTGGTCTGTTGTTGACTTATGTTTAAGGTTTGTAACTAATTGTAACCAACTAACCCATGACGTCAAGCTTATTTTGCATTTCCGGGCGCATTTCCATTTGCTTTAATTATAAAGGTAGGATTGTATTCAATTTATAATACAACAACAATAACAACATGAGTGAATGAATAAATAAATACATAAATAAACATCTTAGATATTAACGATAGCCTATTAATTTATGATATTAACTATATTAGCGATATTAATGAATGATAAACATAACGTAACGTAAATAGCTATGAACTGAAATATAGAAATATTTCTGGATAAACTGGACATAGTTTTTTGTTGTTGTTTTATTCATTTGAATGCTTCAGTTGACGTGATTGCCAAAAAGCGTCGTTTCCATTAATTCCAACTTTGACAACATTCAACTTTTATTTGGCGAGTGCATGCGTGGCTTCAGCTTCAGTGACTCATGCTTGAAGGCATAGGCTATGTGTTGAATTTTCTGCAATCATTTGAAGAGAAACTGTTTAGGAATCACGAGTTTCCTGAAACGTGGTCTGTTGATCAGTGAATAGACGTTATGAAAAACGTGAATGAGAAATTTAAGCAGTGTGCGAATTATACAAGGGGTCAACTATTTTTAAGGAATTTGTACAGGTAGCCGAATTAACAGTGCTTCAATCTCCAAGACGGTGGTGTTAAATTAAAAAATTTTTGTGATTATTTAAATCAGTAAATGATTTATATGTATGCGAATCAGTAATAAAGGGATGCATAATGATAATAATTAGACTATGTTTTGTCTAGCTATGTAGCCTGTGGTTTGATATTTATCCTAACGGAAAATACTTGAGCGGCAACGGTTGCCATGGTTACCATCTCCGGCGACCGCGATTTCTGTTCGCTGTTATATTTGTCGTTTGGTAACTATGTATTTTTGTTACTGTTTAATGCTTAGAAATTGTAAATCAGTCATTTTCAGTGTTTGCGTAGTTAACGTTACTGCCTTTGCATTTGGCAGCACAGATTTCAGCAAGAGTCTAAGTCAGAATCATTGTAAGTTAGTGAAGAAAACAGGATCTAGTGACAAGAGCTAGGGACATGTCTAATGACCAGTGATCCAAGTGACACTTAAAGTACGGTTTCCGAAGAATAATAAACGAAAATTTTTATTCTCTCATATTTTCTTTTATTAACGAAAGTACAACTGCATATGTTGTTCAACTGACTGAGCACAGCTCTAAACAAACCATCATATTAACACAGATATAAAACACGGTACAAGCATAACCCAACACAATTTTTCAAAGAAGTAGACATCACATTATGTCCATAATTATTGGCATGGTTATGCCATCGTTTGCAAGAAATGAAAATGGAATCGGTAAACACTGTACACTGGCGCGGCATTGATTCATCTAAGAAGACATCTAAACAGCAAACATGCAGCACTGCAGTAGCCTAAGTATTGTGCATGGGTTTAAATCACGAAAACACACATAGGCCTAAAACACACCATTTAACAGAGGAAAGTGCACATAACTGGTGTGTCAAACACCAAAGAAATTGCGTCTAAGCG